AGGATGGGTCAACCTGTATTTCTGGATGCAAATCAATGAAATGACAAATTCTGTCCCATAAGGTCCTTAAGGTCAAATCCTGACCTTAGGCTTAGTTCACTACACACCTAAAGATAATTTCTTTGTAAAGATGACTGCAAGTTAGACCTTACAGCATTATTTTAGGGCTGTAGTAAGAGAAGTCCTGACTTAAAGAGCTTTATTGCATCTACTTACAGGAATATTTGCAGACAGTCATTTAGGCTTTTGGATGATGTATCATAGATGTAGGTCAACACCTGTGGATTTTTAATCATCTGCTAGTTTCTTGTGCAGCTTCTAATTTCATCATGAAAACATTTACATTAGTATAAAAAAGGTTGGAAATGAGGTTCTGCTTCATGTGGAGGAGTTCAAGTATCTCTGGTTTTGTTTATGAGTGAGGGAAGAATGGAGCGTGAGATCGACAGTTGGATCATTGCAGCTTCTGCCGTATTCATTCATTCAGCCTTTATTTATGCAGGTTAGTCTCATTGAGCCTCGAGGACTCATTTACAAGAGAGACCTGTTGTAAACAAAGAACACAGATGAGGTACAAACAACAACAGACAATCATATAAAAAGCAAATAAAATGGAAAGGTAAATAGAAGAACTAATATAAAAATGAAACAAACAAAAAAAAACAGCTACATTATAAAATCATTTAAAATGCTAAAAAAAGGAACATGTTTTCATTGGGTTTTTTTTCTCCATGAAATTAGCAGTTGTTTAAAATCCCTTAGAGAGATCGAGGTCAACAAATTCAGATCTTTTTGAAAGGTGTTCCAGGAAACAGGAGCGGAGTTGGAGAAGACCCTTTTGCCTAGTTCAGTTCGCACTGAGGGGACACTGAGGGGCGGCTGTGGCTGAGTGGTTAGAGCAGTCGTCCTCCAATGCAAGAGTTGGGGGTTCGAATCCACCAGCAGTCACATGCCGAAGTGTCCCTGGGCAAGACACTGAACCCCTCATTGCCTCCGATGTGTGTCCCATCAGTGTATGAATGTGATAAAGCTCTGATTGGTCTCTTTAGAATGGTTTGTTCAATTAGCTTTGTAGAGATCTAGTAGAGTGCTGTATGAATGGGTAAATGAGGACACAGATTGTGTGTAAAGCGCTTTGAGTATCTTGATCAGATAGAAAGGCGCTATATAAGTACAGTCCATTTACCATTTACACTGCAGGTAATTATGTCCTGAGAGCGCACGCTGTAGCTGCACTCACGCAGTGACATGTAGGAGGAGATACTGTAAATGAAGAATGGCAGCACATTATTGCGTATTACGGATTCTGTGCTGGTCCATTGTGATGAAGAGCAAGCTGAGCTGCAAAGAGAAGCTCTCTGTTTACAGGTCTGTTTACTCTACAGCCTCACCTTTGGTCATGAACTCCATGACCAGACGTGAGCGGATAATGACCGAAAGAACAACATTGTGGATACAGAAGGTCGAAATTAGTTTTCTCCTCAGAGTAGCTAGACTTAGAGGGTGATAGGATGAGAAATTCTGTTATTTGGGAGAGACCTGGAGTAGAGCCTTTGCTCCTTCACATCAAGAGGAGCCAGTTGAGGTTGTTCGGGCATCTGATAAGGATGCCCACTGGATGACTTTCTAAGGAGGTGATGTGCAACTGGGAGGAGACCCTGGGAAAAACCCACAACACACTGGAGAGATAAGTGTCTCCGCAGGAATGCCTTGGAGTCCTCCCAGCAGCTCTGGAAGAGGTAGCTGTGGAAAGAGATGTCTGAGCCTCCCTGCTCAAGCTGCCGCCCTGTCACTCGACTTCGGAACAAGCAGAAGATAATGGATGGATGGACAGAAAGCATTGCTTCTGTCCTGTAATTCAAAAAAGCTTGTGTGTAAATAGTACACATCTAATAAAAAGCAAAGTAACTCTGGGTTAAAGTTGTATTTTTTACACATACTGTATAGTATTTTAATGTCAGCTGAAAGAAAACATAATAGGTCTGTCAATATACATTTATTTAAAAAAATTTAATCTACCGGTATTCTTTCTCAAACCTCATTTTCTCTATCCATCCATCCATTATCTTTTACCCGCTTCTTTCATTTTGGGTTGCGGGGGTCACTGGTGCCCATACCCAGCAGTCACTGCGAGACGTGGGGGACACCCTGGACAGGTCCATCACAGGGACACATGGAGACTAACAACCATTCACTTCTCTCACTCACATCTAGGGACAATTTAGAGTTACCAATCAGTCTAACATGCATGTTTTTGGTCTGTGGGAGGAAACTGGAGAAAACCCACGCATGCACGGAGAGAACGTGGAACGTCCACGCAGAAAGGGTGCTGGGATTTGATCCAGCAACCTTCTCACTGAGAGGCGACAGCTCTACCAACTGATCCACTGTGCCACCATAAAAAACCTTTATTTTTATATATATTTAAAAAGACTGAACCAAACACAAGAACTTAAGCCCTGATTCATGCTCAGTAATCCAGGTAAATCTAACAAGGTTCAGTCAGGTTCTCTGGACGGATTCTTCTTTGTTGAAGCGTTTCATCTTTTATCCAGAAGACTTCTTCAGTCTGAGGAGCAGCAACAAACTCAGTCTTATAAACATCAGCTTCTCATAGTGGAACAACCAGTTTGCTGGGGACAACCAAAACTAGTTGTTCACATGATAAAGGAGGATCATCAGCCTAACGATAAGTGTGTGCGTGTCATGGTTTACAGTCACACCCTTCTGATTGATCATTTTTATGAACACAGATTGCTGGACAACTGATATCAGAAGAGGACAGTGTCTTCAGGGTAAAATGACTAAATATGACCATTGTGACTTCAGGTTAAAACCTCTGGTTAACTCAGGGAGAGTCGAAGCAGTAAGCAGGTGAAGCTTCTGCATTTTAAATGATCCTGGGTGAATACAGCAGCCCCAAAGCTTTAGAGACCAAGTGTGATTCCTGGTCTACTTTATAATTGATAAGACTTTAATTCATAATACATCAACTTCACCTTGCACAGGTGAAGAACAAACGGCTGTCTCAGCAGATTTGATTTAGTTGCTGGCCTGTGTTCCGGGCAAAGCTTTTCCCTGGATGTGAACTTAGCTGTTGCCTCTTTGAACGCACAGTAAGAGTCATGAAATTGATCTCTTCGTAGTCAATCGGTCTTGTACCAAAAACGCACTTACACACACAATGAGCTTGCACAACGCACAGATGACACAGCATTGAGTTCCTTCAATCAGAAGGTGTGGCTGAACCTTACTGAGCTGTTTAATGAAGCATAAGATTAGCCAGTCACTTAATTTATGCTTCAGAACCGATGCTACATTCTTCAGTTGTTTGACTGCGAGCTAACAAATGAGACCCAATTAAATCCGTGTGGTTTTGTGGTACAGAGTCTCAACGGATCCATGTGTTGGGTGAGTGGATGCTGTTCTGCATGAAGTGATAGGAGATCAAAATACTTCAAGAAATAAACTTTTACTGACAAAATGATGCAACTGAAGGCCTAAATACCAAAATCCTTTAAACGCGTTTATTATAGTATCAGACAAATGTTCACATATTTGTAGTTCTGCCACATAGAGCTTATGGCTTCATATATTGATAAAGGTATGAAGAAAATTAATGCAACATATTTCTGTTCAATATTCAATATTCCTGTTCAAGGCAGACATATTGTGATAATCTGTTTGTCCAGCTGTAAACTTTTTCTGGTCTGGACTATAACTTTTGATCCCCTCAAAATAATTTAACAAAACTTTAAACACATGTACCTAGAAGGAGTGTTGCATATAGTTGTCATCACCTCAGCTCTAAGGTCAAGGTCACAAATCAAGGTCAACGTTTATACACGGTCTTTATGGGAGCTTTATGGGACCCTAATTCATGCTCAATAATCCAGGACCTATGTGATTTTACTGGGACCCTGTGTGACTTTACTGGGACCATGCACATAATTTTGTTCCACCACATTTACCACATGGGGTGCGGATGACAAATAAAGAACCTTTAATCCTTGAATCCTTGGTTGTCCAGGCCATTGCTATTGATTGCTGTATTGCTGAATTTGCCGACAGGCGTATAATTTGCTGTATGTAGTACTCTTGTTGTTTAAACGGATCCTCCAGGATTCAGGGTTTAGAGTTCTTCAACAGTGACTCTACTTGATATGTTTATATGTTTAGCTGTTGAAGAGAAAGGTTTAAATGTTTAATCATTGTCCCTTAAATGGAAGATTTCTTTTTTTTTTCAAGCGGAGTGGTGAAGAATCAGTCAGTATCTTATCTGCCATAGACAACAGTCTGAACATTTTCAGTTTAAAGACTCATGAAAACTTTTTTTTATTGAGGAGAGAAAATAACTGCTACTCAAAACAGACGTCATCCGAGAGCAAATTGCCACAGTCTAAAACAACTCAAACACAAAATATCACCTAACTGAGGTAAAGATACAGTATAAGTGTCTTCACAACTGTTTATTTTTGCACGAGACCCTTATTTGTCACCTTATTTTCTCAGCTGAGCAATATCTGTATTACTGAATGCAGTTGTGTTAACTAAGGTACATACCCCGTCGCGCTCAGCCGTGACTTGTAGTTCCACTGGTCTACCCCCAAAACAACTACAGACAATAAAAATGTGCTATTATAAAATAAAAATATGGCTTTTTTTTCTCAGAAAATGAAGAGATATTTGTGTAAACTAGATTATAAAAAGGAATAACTGATGATTAGAGAAACATTATAACTCCAGGTGAAATCATTTGCTTGGTGGATGGATATTGTTAGCGACCAAATAGGAAGCAGCACAGCAACAGATATGTTCATTGAATTAATAACAATAACATACAACTGTTTCATGAAAAACTCACAGGGCGTAAACATGGTTAATATAGTATTATTTTGAACTGCTAAGGTTTAGAGTTTTTGTTATTTTAGATGGTTGGAATGTGCCAATCGATAAAAGAGCTTAACTTTTTTTTTTTTTTATCTTCCAATTTTCTTTAGTGCTGATGGGACGTATGAAGTCTCCTTCTACTCCAACGCAGTGGTTTCCAACAATGGAGAAGTAGCTTGGCTCCCACCAGCCATCTACAAGTCGGCCTGCAAAATTGAAGTGCGGGATTTCCCCTTTGACCAGCAGAACTGCACCTTGAAGTTTCGCTCTTGGACGTATGACCACACAGAAATCGATCTCATCCTCCTCAGCGATTACGCCTCCCGCGATGACTTCAAACCCAGCGGAGAATGGGATATCGTTTCTCTACCTGGACGCAAGAATGAGGACCCTAATGATATCAGATACTTGGATATCACTTATGACTTTATTATCAAGAGGAAACCTTTGTTCTACACCATCAATCTGATAATTCCCTGTATCCTCATCACATCGCTAGCTATTCTGGTGTTCTACCTTCCATCAGACTGTGGTGAGAAGATGACTCTGTGCATCTCTGTCCTCCTGGCCCTGACTGTGTTTTTACTGCTGATCTCAAAGATAGTACCACCAACATCTTTAGCTGTGCCTCTAATTGGGAAATATTTAATGTTTACAATGGTGCTGGTCACGTTCTCTATTGTCACCAGCGTTTGTGTGCTGAACATTCACCATCGGTCCCCCAGCACGCACACCATGCCACCTTGGGTCAAGCGCATCTTCCTGCACCGGCTTCCTTCGTTCCTCTTTATGCGGCGACCTGGCAGTTCTAATATCCGCGAACGGTTCAGGAAAAAGCACCAAAAGCAAAAGTATGCAGACGAGAGGTTGTGCGGAACTGAGGGAGGGTCAGGAGGCTCTGCAGGAGTGGCGGACTCCTCCTCGTCCTTCTTCGTCAACGAGGAGTCTGCCAAACGCTACGGCTGGAGAATCAGTGACTTTTCAGAGAGCAGAGACCTTCGGAGGAGGATGACCCTCAAGAGCAATATTGATGTGGAGGATGCGGTGGATGGTGTACGCTATATTGCTGAGAAGATGAAGAGTGAGGATGATGATGAGGGGGTAGGTATTTGTAAAAACTATCCGCATTTGAATGCACTGCTTTCCTCCGCTCTCTTCTTGTTTTTAGCTCAGTTTTTGTCCTTACTGTTACAGTGCAACATTAAAATACTTAAGTATTTACATGAGTTTAGTTTATTGTTTTTGTAAAGTTTGATGGTTAAAAATAAACTGTCTCAATGTCAGTGGTGTGTACTGAAGTAATGTAGAAGCATAATTTATTCAGACATTAAGGAATTGCACTACTTTGTATGAGATTGAGACGCCTGTTGTGTAATCTGCAGTTTCACTGTAAACAATGCAGTGGCAGCATTTATCAACGTTTCCTCCCTCTGCAGATCATCGAAGACTGGAAATATGTGGCTATGGTGATTGATCGTCTCTTCCTGTGGATTTTCATCTGTGTGTGTGTGATCGGCACCGCTGGCCTTTTCATGCAGCCTCTGTTTGAGAGTTACAACACCCCAATTGTTGAGGACGTGGAGCATAACTGAAGCCGATGAACTTTGCATTTGATAAGGCCCTCAAATTAAACTTTACCCCCAGAACAAATTAAACAAACAAAAGAAATCTTGCACACCCACCACAGACAGAAGACAATCTTGAAATTCTTCCTTCTTCCCTCACCAGGTTTCTGTCTGCTTTTTGCTATCCAGTGCTGGAAATTATTTTATTTCAAGTGATTAAAAAAAAAAAGTTATGTGTAGTTGAAAGAAAGAAAGGGGGGAAATATATACACAAAACGGTCAGATATGGAATAATTTGCAGCCATAGACTAAATGCTTTGGTGTTACTAGAAAAAGAAATGAAAGAGTTGTCAAACATCCTTGAGCCAAATTATATATTAAATCTAATACATAAAGTGAAAAACACCACCATTTAGTAAGTGCTCTTACTCTGGGATTGGGATGCACATGAAGTTAATCAAATATGGTAATTTAGCAACATTTCATGCAAAACACCTGCACATGAAAATATGTTGGCTGCCATCGCTGGTTTTAATTGGCCAACAAAAACTCAGGATACATACATATTTTTAAAAATTCAACATTACCTTGGTCATTTTGTACTGCCTCAATATTTTTCTAGCAGTAGAAGAACTTGTTTGGGACGAGTACTTCAGTATAACAAGTCACTGTTTTAGTTAAAAAAAAAAAAATCATTTTTGTATGCTAAAAGACAAACGTAACCCTAATTTAAACAAGGGATTCCTGGTACATCACTCCCGCCTTGCATGCTAAGGTTTCCAAGAAACATCTTGCGGGATGTTAGTCTATGTTGGGGATGACTCTCAGCTACTACCACACCAAATATTAGCCCAATATTTGTCAAATTGACTCAGTTGTAATCCTTTTTGTGTTGACTAAGGTTATCAGCTGTGGTGGCCATCTTGAATCGAGACACATTCAAAAGTTAACCAGGCGCAGCCGATGAAGACTGCTAGACTTTCATTAAACTTTGTTCACCTGTTAATGAGATATTTTGCTAACAGACAAACAAAGCTATATATATATGTTTACGACTACTTGTGTGAAAGGATCATGTGAGCCTCATATTGTTGATGCACTCATGAAAAGAATAAAATAAAACCAGTTTGTGTTGATTAGCAGATGTTCTGTCTTTGGGCTATTTAGCCATTAGCACGTACAGTAAGTTTATAAAAGTTTCCTTTAAAATGACGCAAAGAGGGAAAAACAAACCTGAGTGCAGGTAAGTTCAGTGACACCAAACACAGCGGGTGTTTTTATTCACACATCTCTCCTGGCAGACTTTTGCCCGACATATAACCCTATGGAATATCTGAAAAAAAAAAAAAGGTTAATAAAAAAGCAATTTTGTTTAAAATTTAAAAAAGAAGATGCTAAAAACCAATTATTTTTATCGTGAGGCTGTTTCTGCTTCGTGTGCTTCTTTCAAACAAAAAGTATGAGGAAGCAGCTTGTCAGCATCCATCCAGTTTGTTCTTATCTCCATGGAAACCAGCAGGCATAATATTATAGTAAATAATTTACTCACTGACCTTTACCTTTACGCTGCTAACCTAATAATTACAGTCGTTTTTAAACACTGACTGGATGTGAACTTGATTTCTCAGCCGTTTGTCATAATGTACCTAACTGTCATTCCTGTCGGTGATAGACAAACAAACAAACCCAGTTCTTATAAAATTGTCCTGGTAGATGCTGTGTTGATTGTGGACTTCAGAAAACACAGTGGACCAACACCAGCAGAGGACATGGCACCAAATCATCACTGACTGTGGAAACGTTACACTGGACTTGAAACAACGTGGATTCTTTTCCTCCAGACTCTGGGGCCTTGATTTCTAAATGACGTGCAATTTTAGTTTCATCTGAAAAGAGGGCATTGGACCACAGAGAAACAGTCCAGTTCTTTTTGTTCTCAGCAGGTAAGACACTTCTGACTGCCCCCGGTTCAGGAGTGGCTCGACTTGAGGAATGAGACATTTGTAGCTCATGTCTAGAAGTTCATTAACTGGTTGGGTTATGGCACCAGGAGTTTTTAATATTGAACCTCTTCACAATATTCTAATTTTCTGCAACTGAATTTAGTTTTTTCATTATCTGTAAGCCATAATCATCAAAATTAAAATAAATAAATGCTTGAAATATTTCACTCTGCGTAATGAATCTATGTAAAATATGAGTTTCACTTTCTGAAATGATTGACACAAAAAGAAAAACTTTTTCACAATATTCACGTTTTTAAAAAAAAAAAGCACATGTAAATTATAGTTTCCTCAAATAATATTTACATATAAGAGCAGTTTGTTTTTCTATCAACACTGTACAGATCATGACGAAGTGGAAATATTAAATATATTCTGAACAAAGATTTCCAAACGGAATGTGTGCGTGACTCTTTTCATCTCTCTGTGTGTGTGAGCTGAATATTATTAATCAGCCCAAAGATTCATTCACCAGTCTCGTATCCTCGAGGCATCCAGCTTCACCTTCTGTTGAAGGCGGCAGTGAGGTCATATGACCAAACTCATAAACCTGCTAAGTCTGTCTGATGATGTTCTCATGAAAACTGGTGAAGCTAAACATATATATCAATGAAGACAAAAAATAAACCACGATCCATGAAAGAAAATCTCATTTCATGTGATTTATCTTAAAGGGATAGTTCAGCTCTTGTGAAGTGGGGTTCCAAGTAAAACATGTACATTTAATATCTTACCTGTTTTAGATAGCTCTTTCCATTACCTCAGTTTTTAGATTTTTTTTACCATACCATACCATACCATACCATACCATACCATACCATACCATACCATACCATACCATACCCTTTTATTTATAGAGCACTTAAAACAGCGACAAGGCCAACCAAAGTTCATTTTTACACCAGTCTGATGAGCTAAAGGCTAATTTGAGCAAATTCAAGACAAACTGATGCAAAAGTGACTTGATGTGGGAAAAAAAAATACAATTTATATTTTGTTTGAATGGTCTGAGGTTTGAATTGTTTTAGATGGCTAAAAGATTCACTTTAAATCGTCCCTCTTCTAAACAGTTTGACTCCTCTTTAGGCCCTTTCATATGACAGTTCTGTACAATGGCCTCACAGACCAGCTCTCCTTTATGCTACCTCTCTAACCATTTAAAAAAAATGTCAGTCAGTCCTACACTGTTACTTCACTCTTTGACACAGATCCACACCAGAGGTGAGCTGTCTTTCACTCTCCTTGCCGCCATACGACACTTTGTCCCTGTCTCGACTCTCATGAGCTTCATGCGACACCAGTTAAAGGCCTCCCCACTGTCGGTACCCACCAAATTCTAAAAAAGTTAAATCTGATCCTCTGGCCATTCAAAAAACAAAGCAAAACAAACAAACAAAAAAAATGTAGCAACATTTCGGCTTTCATGCGAAAGACTTCCTCAGTCTGAGGAGCTGTATTCAGCTCAGTCTTATAAATAGCACCTTCTCAGAGTGGATCAACCAGTTTTGCTGCTGACAACCAAAACCAGCTGATCACATGCTCAAGAAGGACCATCAGCCTAACAATGGATCATTAACACACTGATGGCTGTTTACTGTTCACAGAGGGCTGAGTGATACTAGCAATCACAGCATTGTAAGAGGGGGACAGTTGAACCCGGAGGCCTCCACCCCTGTTTAACGATGGACGATTTCTTTTCACAAAGATGGCCTCCTTTACTCCTCTCTCAAACCATTGTTCCTCTCTATCCAGGATGTGAACATCTTCATCCCTGAAAGAGTGACCGCTGGCCTGGAGATGAGTGTAGACCTCAGAGTCCTGGCCTGATGATGTTGCTCTTCTGTGCACAGAACCCTGCTTCAAAAGATCCAAAGCATCACTTCAACTTCAGACTCATCCTGAATAAATGCAGAGTACCTCAGTCAGCAACTTTAAAAAGTATTTAAAGACAGACCCCAGTCTACCACCTGCTTTCCTGTCTTTGAACTGCAGAGCCAGCAGTGGTGTCCCAGTTAAAGTTGTCTCTCACCAAAGATGGCACCCCTGCAAAGTGACTCATTTTTCAGAGGCAAAGAGCTGTTGATATTCTATGGTCTGAAGAGTGGATGAAGTGTGACCAAAGAAATGAAACTTGATGGGTGCGGAGAAAAAGTGAGATAGAAGATAACTGACGGTGGATAGAGGATGAGAGAGATGATGAAGGTCAGTAATGAACAGAGGACCTGGGATTTTGTCATCTGCGAGACCGGCAGAACAGAAGGCCGTTTTCAGGCTGCAGTCAGAAATCAATAAGCATTTCATCTTCTTTGCAAGACAAACCACATAAATGTCCAATATGTGTGTGTCTTCACTGTGTGAGAACACACAGTTCACACACAAAAATACTCACTGCAATGACGGTTTATTTTATTTCTTGCTTAGTGCACATAAATAAATAAATAAAAGCAATGTTTTATTTGCTCGAAATTTGATTAGTTTTGTGAAGGTTTTGTCTCTCGCCCACACACACACACAAAAAAAAATAAATTAAATGATTGCATTAATAAACTGAATTATTAAAAGGAATTATTTCTAAAATACAACACCGATGCAAGAAAGTATACGCAGTAGAATGAATTATTTCTTGTTGGTTATTTCATCATTTTATTTTAGATCACTTGACGAACTTTTAGTGATGTTTAGTTAAAACTAAACTACTGCTTCAAATGTTTCAACTACTAAAAAAGCAGGATGAAACGTCAAATCTAAGTGAATAAGTTGGCGGGTTTACCGTAATTTCCAGACTATAAGTTGCTTTTTTTTTCACATGCTTTGAACACTGCAGCTTATACAATGCTGCAGCTAATTTATGGATTTTTTTTTTTGATGGGCGAATGAGCTTCATGTTGCCAAAACATTTAGCCTCGTCACACCAGGGCACTCACATAGCTGCCCAATACATGTCTCTCTTGAGGGGTAGGTCCTCGTGACTCAATGAGACTACCTGTATAAATAAAGGTTAAAAACAATCTGACATATGAAATGACCAAACTGGTCACAGTGGATCAGTGAAGCTTGGTTTCATTGATCCCCCGAGTCCCACTGT